AAATAGAGGGCCTGGATCCAGCTTTTGCATGCGTCTTTCTTACCACTTCCTTCTTAGTTGAATTTTTCGGTCACGTGAAAGGAAACTGGACACTTATTGGTCAACATAAACCCAATTAGTTACGAGTTGTTTTATTTTGATAAAGAAACGGGTACAAAGTGTACAATTCTGAGTCTAGCTGTCGAGAAAACGTCTAAAAATACCTTCTAATAGCCCAGTTCTACCGAAAAGCATACATTTAGAATCCAACATCTAATAATGGAGGCTGCAGAGAACATTTTTAGCACGGAAATTCCCTTCAAAATACTGCAGCTGCGTTTTAAATTCCGCATCTACTTCACTGAAATGAAATGCAAAGCCAGCCACTGATATGAGGTCAGGAAGATCCATCCACGAGTACCATTGTTGCGGAAATTAGCTGCGAGCGGTACCTCATTGGAACAGAACAGTCCGATTTTTATGAATTGTGTAGAGGGCACATCTGGTGAATGTCACAGCGATAGGAATCACATCTTATCTTCGTTTTGTTTCGACTACAATTCGGGGCGTAGCACAAGATAAATCAGCCAAAATCCTCATTGAATAAAATCAATGTATTTATCAGACATGAAAGACCATCTAACACGGTTAATGACAAAGCAAAAAAGGCAGTTTAAGTTTAACTGTAGCGCTCGTGTCGTTATTCAAGTTTTCTCCGGTCTCTTTGTGAAAAAATGGGCAGGTTTTGTTAGAGTTTATTCGCTTTGAGTATATTGAATGGGAATTTGATGACAAAGCCTTTAATGTACTTTACCAAGAAAGATTGATACTTATTTCAAAACTATTGAAATGAAATTGATGCTTATAAAAACGACTCAAGATCAGATTTGAGCTTGCGGTCGGATTTCTGCGGCCAAAGACAGTGTAAATCTAGGGTAGATTAGAAACGGGTTGTTAGATAAAAAGAAATTCTCAACAAATGCTCGTTAGAAGATATTTATTGTCTTCGAAAGTCCAGATTGCAAGATAGAGGTTTAAAAAAACTCGGTTTTGACTGATTCTTCAGAATGTATGTAGCCCATCTGCTGTTAGGAATGATCGTAGAGTGCTAGAAAATACCTTTCATTTATCATGTGTCACATTAAGTTGCCAAAATGATTAGTGTGGCAAAAAGTATAAGACACGAACAGGGGTGCAGTGCTATAAAAAGAGCAATGGGATCTCTTTAAAATATTTTTAAAAGCCAATAGCTACAAGTAGAGAAGTACTACTATTCGGCATAAGCGAAGGGCTCAGCCCCCCCCCTCCCCCCACCCCTATGAGCAAAAGAAACTTTTCGGCTCCCTGAGTCCCCCTGTCTCTACACTCCTGAATACGACTGCCCCGTCCTGACGCATTTCACTGGCCACTTAAATTCCCATTCGTTAGATTAGACTTTAAACAAACTACAAAGCTAACTCTGAACGGTTGACTGAAGGGACATAGTGCCATTAAGTGACATCTGTCTTAATTTGGCCAAAAAGGTCCTATGAATTTATTGCGACACTAGGAGTTGCGACTTTTAAACTGTCCTTTCCTTCACATTAACCCGTGTAAAGCTCTGTAGGACATCCAACAGCCCTGCAGCAGACATAGCATAGAGACAAGTAAACAGTACTCCTCTAAAGGCCCTAGGCTTTTACAAGTTAGAAATAGCTCATATCAAGTGGCGACGATTTAGCCAGATATTTGTCTTTATTTTTTAATTTGATAACAATTTACGATTAAAGCAGTCAATTCACACTATTAACATGATACAATTATGTCTAGTTGTATTTATAAAGATTTCTTAAGATAATCTACAATAAGATGTCTGTGAAGCTTTTTAAATGACGCTCTAATTTTTGTATAATCGTACCTGTCTAGGTTTCAATCCTTGCATTCAGTTATGGAAAGTATGATAAAAGGGACCTTTGAACGTGACGTGTCAATCTTCTTGATAGTAAAATTTGTTCTATTGTGGATTTTGGAGTTAATGAAAGCTTAAAATCAACTTTTGAAAGCCAAAAACATACTACTGATCTCGAGGCTGCTCTATTACAAAAACATAACTGCTCCACAAGATCATGTTTGGGCCCGTTGCTATTTTCTTTCACAAAAATGGTACCTATCCGCCACTTGTTCATTTGAACAGCTATCACCATAAAAGTTGCAAAACGGAGAAGGAAGAATAATTACAGGAAAATAATTCGATTTATTCAGACCGTCCTTGTAAGAGAATTGTTTGAGGGTGGGGTGACGGGTGGGGGGGGGGGTTCTCCTTGCAATTCACAGCAGGGTATTTGGCAGTATTTGGTACGAATAAATTACTCACAAGGCTGTTTATCTTGATGGCAATCAGAAACAAATGAGGTACAATTAGGGACATTCTTGCAAGTAGGTAAAAAGAAAATAAATTGGGCAAACAAAAACTATTCAGATTCTTTTTCTACGTTCTTATTCAGAACAACATTCTGTTGTTCAGCTAGAAAAATCACATTTGAATCTTCTTACAATATCGATTTTCAAGGCTGAATCGAGTGGTTGCTGCTCCACCCAATTACATTTCTAAACGAACACATAAAAATAAAAGAAGTTCATACCTTTCAAATCTGCTCCAGTATGAGTATAAAATGCCCTCTCCTCTTTTCTTGTTCAGCTTAGGCTTTCTTGTCAAAGGAAACCTTGTCAAACATAAACAACTGTAGTGCAGTGCATCAGATGCTTGCATTCAAGATTCAGCGCTACGGTAGATAGGCAAAAAAGAACAGCCATCTTGCTGACGTTCTCGGACCTTCTGCAAAAAGAAGGAAAATGGATCATAGAGTCTGTCTCAGCAACATGATCTTGGCGTCGCAGGTTCACCAATTGAAAGCAGCACGCAGTTAGAAACCCAGTGAAGAAAATTTGCCTTAATGATGCAGTTTCTACGCTTGCCTTCTTTAATTTGCATGAATTTTGAATAATCGATCGTCTCGTCGTCAATATCCATGAATACAATTTTTTTTCGAATCTATTTTTGTACTTGTTCAGGGTCCAGAAAGTTATCGAATCTTGTACTGGTGATGGAAACTACCTCATTGGGAAGACAATCGAGTGTCTCTTGTGCATAGTAGGGTTTTATAGTTTGAAAGATACTCTATGTAAGGTAAACAGTATGGATTAAATGATTTCTTCCCGATGCTATTTCTTTGAGATTCTAGGCCAATCATAAAATATGACATGGTGAATGAGAATAGCTCAAGTAATCGAAACAGCTGCGTTTTTAGAATCAGAAATACTGTGACCAGCATAATAGCAAAATGTTTCTGGAATTAATTCCTGAAGGATGCTACAAACGCACAATGTAAAAACAGGCAGTGCAAATATAGGTTAAGAATTCTCTAACCTTTTTATGAAGACTTGTGTATGAACCCGGTTTAAGAATTACATTTTAAGGTTAAAGATGTATTATGTAGGCTTATCCCTATCCTTACAGCGTAGTCATTGAGTTGGACTTGCTACAAGTCTCTCTCTATCCATTTAGAAATCTGAAAAATATAGAAAAGGAAAAAACAAATAGACCGCAGTGAATACTTGTTGTCTGCGATGCCTGAAACATGTTGCTCTCTCTAAGAGCAAGCAAAAACAGAATATTTCTACAATGTACCTTATGGAAATCACTCATCACGGAAGTCACGGAACAAAATAACCCACAAGCCTAATTAACCCTTAGTATCTAGTATGCATCGTTTAGGACTTTCTACTTCATTCAACAACCTTCAAAAGCACTACAAGGCCAGTGACTAAACAAACCCTTCAAGCGTTCCTGTCTTTTGTCAAAAACCTTCCCTTACATTACACTACTCATCTTTTGCTTCCTTCTCGCATACATATTTTAAAGATTAAACCAGCTTTGCACCCATACAATGAACAACGATTCTGTCTCAAGCCTTGGCGCTATGGTTTATGAAAGACCTGCTAACAGAATTTAAGTTCCTAACGAAAGTTTGTAACGCTAGAATTGAAGTCCACAGCATGGAATTTCGAGAAGGGTTTTAATCCGTTGGATTCATGGAGAGCATGGGATTCTAATTGAATATGCTTGAGTCAACTGAAGGGCATAATCCGGCCTAAGCTCGAAGCCATTTGAAGCCTTATTGTGTTCCCTGTAGGAATTTACTTGGATTATTAGCCAAGTTTCACTGACCTCGTTGCAGCCTTGGCGCATCTCCCGTGCGCTAAGAACACGCTTCTCTTCCTCATGGGCGAGCGCAGCTGAAACGAAAAGAAAATGCGATTAACCTAAGACGATGTCCTTGCTATTAATAAAATCTTGCGTAAGTTTAGTAAATAAAGATCTATTTGATACGAGGACCATTGGTGGATATATTATAAGATGAAAGGGAACGTTTTATTGGGGGGGGTATCTAATTTGAAGGGGGCAGTTAAGGGAATCTGTTCAATTGAGAAATCAAGCCAAGAACTTAAACAGTTAAAGTTACACTTCCTCGTTATTACTTCATATGGAAAACAGCTATTAGAGACACCTTTTCAAATGAGCTTTGCCACAAAGAGAAATCAGAGCTAATCATTCTGTGAACGATGTTTGTTAGATACTAGAAATCACTCGATCAGAAACAAATCACAAAAAGATAATGTATAACAATTTTTTTAAGACCAAGCCCCTATGCATGTTTTACATTATAATGGGTTCTAGAGTCTGAACAATGTGCTTTAACAACAAATGATGAAGGCAAAAAAAAGGAAATTAAGAAGAACAATTTCTAGTTTCTTGCTACTTTGTTTGGTAGTTACTTTTAACAGGACCTAACAAATCGATAATTCTTTTTGGAGTGTTATTTCGGGGACACGGACACCTACCAGACTTGCTAATTTTGGTGCGAACACAGTACCATTTATCATCGATTGCAATAACCATGTTAATCATGTCAAGCTGCTCACTGATCACACCCCTGTCACCCAACTCCCACAGATACGAGTCCAAGAAAAGAAAAGCTCTGTTAAACAGTATGCAATCTTGCTCATTTTGAAGAAACAAAAAAATAGCAAACTAAAATCACGCGATGCAAGTAGGCAAAAAGTAAACTTGCGATACAAATTTTACATTATCCATCCGGCGTTAGACTTGACAGCTGAGAATTGTTGATCTTTCTCGAAACGTTTTTCTGGTACATACATCAGCAGCATTTCTAGTATCACAATGATCTTTGAAAATCTTATTCTCAACAAATAAAAGTTTATTGCTGCCAAGCAATCACATATCCAACCTCTTCAAAAGGGGTTTTATTTACTGTTTCAAAACATTGCTGTTACGAGGTGCGATTGGGTAGACAAATAGGGTCTCTTCTCTAACCATTCAACACCCTGGGTGGATAATATCAAAGCCTGGTGGATTAAGTTATTCAAAGAAAATCAAGCAGTACCGGGTACTTTTGCAGATTTGGCAGAAACTGGAAAATGATTTATTTTATAAAGGGAAACTTTAAACATCAGCTAACACCAATGGAACTCTGCAAGACTTCTGAAAAAGAGTATTCTCTGTTTGAAAACAGGGCAAATAATTTTCTTCAAATTCTGCAGAAAATGAAAAGCGTTTTTATGAAGGTTACCAGTAAAAAAAGCAAGTAAATTAACATAATGTTTGCTTCCTTGTGAGGCATTTGATATTCCTCAAACTTGCTTCCAGCGGCATTTTTCATACATATTCCCAAGAACTAAGAAAAACCGGCCAAACAGTCTCTGATAGCGAGGCTAAGAAAACTGGAACTAGCTTTCATGCAAAGGGATAACGAATTTGTCACCAAACGGCGAATTGTACGTGATGCCCACATCCTTGAAGATGCCGGATGGAATGCCAACGTCAACAAGATACAAGCGTCCACATTTAGAAGAGCCAATCTACAAGATAAATTTGATATGTATGAACAATAAGCTGAACATATATATGACAAAAGCCTATAGTACTCTATCTTCTGTTCGTTGCAGCCGATGTCCGGACATTTACTTATACAAGGCCCTAGGCCTAGAGATAGGGAAAAAATTGGTACAAAATCGCCTGTTTCTTCTTTGGAGGTGCCTGTTATTAGGATGTCCTTTCATTGGGAGGTGCCTGTCATGGGAAGGTGTCTCTTATTGGAAGGTGTCTTTCGTTGGAAGGTGTCTCTCGTTGCCAGGTGTCCCTTTTTTATGGAAAATCTAGCATAAAATCGGAGAGATTCCACGATTATGAATATCGTTATGGATTCAGCGAGTGTTTCGATAATCCAGCGTCCATGCTTTCATGATGTTTTTTTTCTTTAAAACTTAGAAAATTCTACAAAACAGATACGTTACTTACCAAAGGCAATGCCAGTGCTATGGACCATTTTATCACGATTGAATCTAGAAATAAAATAAAGAAAATCAAAAGGCACCAATTAAAAATGTAAAAATTTATGAGAGCTTCGTTGTTTGAAATGAAAGTTTAACAGATTTTCAAGCAGGAAAAGAATCAATACATTTTGACAGATCAGTTTTTACTATCCTCCGCAGAGTCATTACGTGGAAAGAATCAAGAGCCCTTAGAAAGGCAGAGTTGTTGCGTAATAGCATTGCACAGTTAATGGAATGTGTACAGGTCAGCAAGCGGAGGATCTCCAATAAATCATTATGATGAGAGGTCCACTTTTATCAAAATTCAACTGAATCCTAAACAGGCACACGAGGGTTAATAAGTGAATTATAATTATAATTATTATCACTATCATAGACTGACAAAACGCATAGCTGATATATTTTCGAAGAATCATGTGTCAGTAACGCTGGTCATGTAAGAAAGATTCATTTCATTTAAACTATGAAGCAAAATTTGCAAATTGGCGAGAAGGGACCCTTTTGCGAGATCTTGGACATTGGTGGCTCAAGATCTAAGGCCGTGGGTAAACTTGTTGGAGAAAATCATGGTAACCACTCAATGCTAGGATCGTTTACTTTCTAAAGATAGTTTTTAATTTTGGAAGGGCAAATAATTTTTTAGGATCGCCCTATTTTACATGTGTGGTGTCTTTTTGAACTGGTCAGGCTGAACCGACCGGTGTACCATGCGTTATTGCAGGTCTTCATGCAACTCAGGGCTATCCCCTGCTCACCCGCCATTGCACTGCAAATCGTATAATTGTAAACCTGCCAGCGAGGAAAAAGCACGTCGAAGAGGTTGGAAATCCAGTTTTTAAGGGAAACCTAAGGTTAGCATGGTTTAAGGAAAAATAAACAAATAATGGTTTTTTAAATCAGAATGCAGGGTGGCTTCAGACGACGTTGAAACCGACTATGTAAACAGAGCAGTAAACATGGGTTCAGTATCATTTGCAATTAGCCTGTCATATGTATTTGCCCACCCTTTAAGTTACGTCGGAGGCCGTGAAATATATCTAAGGATAAGAAGTCCTATTTGACTAAACTTCGGGGAATGCAATTTGAACATAATTTCTTGGTGATTCGATGTAGCATCCGGCTAAGCCTGTAAATGACGTTATTTTGATCGACTGGTATTCAAAGGATTTAATGGAATGTCCCCGCTAAACACGAGCCGAACATCTATGGCATTACAATGAGATCTATTTTAATTGATACTTATAATTGAAATGTTGATTCTGGGAGGGCAACTTTAAACATACATAGATGGAGACGTCATAAAATATATTACTCTAGATAAAAAGATAAAGTCCTTAATTGGATAATCAACTGAGCCTGGGGGCAAAACAATCCCCAAACACAATTATAATCCAGGGTGACCAAGGGTAAAGAAGGCAGTCTTTTTTCAACAGCAGCTTGTATTGCTTTTGAAATATTTTTCGCATTTTCCCACTAAGAAAAAATTTACTTTTGGAAAAAGCGTATGAGCTTTCCAAGAAAACAAAAGAATTTCTCGAGATTATCAGATAGAAACAATAGAATTTCCACCAGAAGTATACGAAATTTTCATGAACTGAATCGCCTTCATTTCCTGGCCTAAGCTAGCTTATTCATTTACTGGCCTAAAATAAATTTTCACGAAAATAAATTAAATTATGTTGATAAAATTACCATTGAGGATTGATAGAATTAGAAAAAGCCATGGAGACCCACTCAGCTGGGAACTTCAAAAATCATCTTTCCTCTTTCTATCTCCAAATTCAAGTATTACACTTTTCTAGGTACAGACCATTCGGTTACAAAAATTCTTTCGTGTACAGGCCATTCATTTTCTTTTGCATCTACACCAAAAACATGGAAATTACTTAACAGGAGAGTACTCAAATACTTTCAGGAGCTGGATAAAAACCAGAGAATTCACAAGCACAAGGGGGTCGTTTATAAGGGACCTTAGTGTTCTAAATTTTTCACGCTGTTAGGCTTGTGACACAGAAGAGGAAAAACAATTTTTTTTACATTGACATATAATATTTCCTTTTCTGTGATTATGACTCAAAAAAACGTCATGAGATGTACCGCGACAGTCTAGCTACAATTATCTCTGATAATTTAGAAAGCAACTGATAACTTCAAAAATCATGATATGTAGAATTGGGATTTCAATGAACCCTACGGAAAAAACATAGACTTCATGGCAACAGTCACACGATTAAAAGCTTTATCGTATCGCTACAATAACACATGACGTCAGACAACCAAGAGAAAGTGACCTTTAAGAATGAGTCTATGCTTTGACGTAAGGGAAGACCAGCTTAATTAGGCTTATAACGTTGCGGGCATATGCTAGCGTCATAGATAACGGGAGGCGTAAACTCTGCCAAATTGATAACTAACAATTGCCAATATATTTAACGGTTGTTTCAATCCATGATAATTAGGCGGCTTACTTAATGCAGTAAATGCTTGGCAGAATTAAGAACCATTAGTTTTTCAAATGCATCTTAATTGCATATTAACAAAGATTACATCTGCCAACATTTTCAAAGGCACGAAAATTTAACTACACTGGAAAGGCAAATCGTGAAAATGTGCAAAGGGGCCCTATACTTCCAGATAAATGACAAGCTCCTGCACCGATGTAGGAAATTTCTCCTCAGTGCGCGGCTGCTTACCCGTGAAGTGAGTTCAAGAGGTGAAGGAATTAACTTCATAGCTAGTAACTAAGGAATTTGCATCAAAAAGGGTAGGGGGCTTTGACAATCTTTATAAGACACTTTTTTATAAGAAACCGAACCAAGGCACAATTAAACACACTTTAAAAGCACTTTTAAACATTGCTAAAAGTAAAAATCATTGAATAGTATTTTATCTAAGGATCAAGGAGATATTTTTTTAATTTTTTCAACAGTTAAGCCAAGAAATGGAACCAGTGGACGCTCCTGCCTAACACTTCCATCACCCAAGGGGGGTAGGACATCATCTCTCTCTCTCTCTCTCTCTCTCTCTCTCTCTCTCTCTCTCTCTCTCTCTCTCTCTCTCTCTCTCTCTCTCTCTCTCTCTCTCCCTGCTCCTCTCTCTTCTCTCTCTCTCTCTCTCTCTCTTCTCCTCTCTCTGTCTGTCTCTGCTCTTCTCTTCCCTCTTCTTCTATCGTTGTCTCGTCTAGTGCTCCTTACTCTCTACTCTCTACTCTCTACTCTCTACTCTCTACTCTCTACTCTCTACTCTCTCCCTCTCTCTCTCTACTCTCTACTCTCTACTCTCTACTCTCTACTCTCTACTCTCTACTCTCTACTCTCTACTCTCTACTCTCTACTCTCTACTCTCTACTCTCTACTCTCTACACTCTACACTCTACTCTCTACTCTCTACTCTCTACTCTCTACTCTCTACTCTCTATCTACTCCCTAACCCATACTCCATACTCCATACTCCATACTCCATACTCCATACTCCATACTCCATATTCTCGCGGACACCTCGGACACCTCACACTCTCGGTTTTATATACGAATATGAGTATTTATCAACCTCTACCTGAACTAGTATTGAATTATTGAATTGGATTAATCACACGTACCTTGTTTGGCTGTCCGGATGCAAGGATCTAGGGCGAGAACCGGTGCTTTGTTGTGATTCGCCCAACCTATAACAATTGGCAGCCAATCGTATTGCGTATCATTGTTATCAACGCATGTCAAAGCATCAATGACCAAATCAACAGGCAGTGAAGGAAGCTCTGCGAAATCAATGGAGAGAAGTAAAACAAATAGTGAAGATTAATACTACCATCATAATAGTAGCACAAAACATGATCATAGGAAATTCCATACAAATAGAAATATTTTTCGAAAGCAAATATTGATCCAGTTGCTGGCAACTAGCCGTTTTCAACTAGGAAAGAAAGCAAAACTTTGGCCTAAAAGGGTTGTAATTGAAAAAGGCAAACTGTCGCATCAACGACTTTGCAGCAAATTATGGGTTGCAACTTTTTTTACTATCGCAACATTACTTGCAACTAGTTGCTCAAATAAGTAATTTGAGTTGCAATCTTTTATAAACGTACAATTTCACTTGCAACCAGTTGCTCCAAATTAAGTTTGCAATTTTCATAAACGTGGAGCATCACTTGCGACTAAATGCTCCGATAGGAAAACTCGTTTTGCAGACTTTTATAAACGTGAAACATTACTTGCAACTAGTTGCTAGAATTTGGTTTGCAAATTTCATAAAATCGCAAAAGGACATTTGTGGGTGTAATTTCCTGGAGAAATGCAACTTTACTTGTAGCTGGATTGACAGGGAAATTTTGACATCCTGTACATTATAATTCAAATAAAGGATGGAGCAAGCACATGGTTGTAGTGCTAGCTTTTGTTTAAACTGACTACTATAAAGTACCAACATTGGCCATAACTAAAAGAAAACACGTGTATCATTAACAAGTTTGCAAAATGCAACAGAACACGCGATTAAGTGTAAGATATTTTGCAAGTTCCAAGTCTCTAAATTGTCCTAGAAATTGTTCTATTAATATGAAACAATGCGATGGTATTAAACAACTAAATGCTAAGATCTATGATATTACGTTTTTGAACTACATAAAAATAACGTAAACTTCTCTAATTACGAGTATTTACTTTAAACAATTTTTGGTCGAAATATTGAAATTGATGGGTAAAAAGCTACAATATATTCTAGAGGGTTTTTCGATCCAGTGCATGGGGCGTGCCAGACTGAAATTTACATTCAAATATCCGATTTCATGTTCCCCTGTTTGGCTCAAGAGAAATAAACATGTATTGTTGACTTGTGGATGCAATAAATAATATTATATATGAAGGAAATTTCGTGATAAGAAGAAAGGCATCCGAGGAACTTTAAAAGCTTTTAATTGCTTCCATTAGATCCATCAACTTGGGCCAGTATATCTTGGTACGTTTGCAGAACAAATTGACAATACCTTTTATGGACAACGGAAGCGATAAACAAACGGGACAAGAAATCGTTCGGCAACAGCGCGCGGCACGGAGGTACAGCGCATTTCCGGATGCGTTAAGCAGCTTAAGAGATTTACATAATTAAATCCAAGCGCAGAAATTAGAGCGCTAGAGGTAAGAGAGCATGGGATTTTTAGAGGATAAAAACTTGAGGATGATGGGGCAGGCGTTTGTTGTTTCCATACACTGGCGAGAAATGATGTTCTAGCCCTAAGTATTTTTAATATAAAGTGTGAGAAGGAAGAACCGCAGGATAGGCTGTCTGCCGGATTCTGTGAATCTTGCAATGAGATTTTAAAATGAAAGGTAAACAGGAACAAAGCAATACGACGACGAGAATCCAATGTCACGAAATAAATTTTCAAAATAAATTAAACTTAAAGAGTATACTAATTTATAATATGTTCAGCACTCTACCTGAAAAGCATAAGAGAGCATGGGATTTTCAGAGCGCTAGAGGTAGGAGAGCATGGGATTTTTAGAGGATAAAAACTTGATGATGATGGGGCAGGCGTTTATTGTTTCCATACACTGGCTAGAAATGATATTCTAGCCCTAAGTACTTTTATTATATTCAGCACTCTACCTGAAAAGCATAAGATTTTTACAAAAAATAAAAAGAATAATAAGAAAACAACAAGGATTTTCAAACAGTATATACTAATTTTTCGGTACAGACGTAATCAAGATTATATTTAACGCAATATTGATATCAAAAAGCAACACTAGTCAGCTATTTCAGGCACGCGAAGCGTTGAGAAAAGTTGGGGGTCTAAAAAGGGGGGGCTAAAACCGTATAAAAAGAGGCTTTACTGGTAGTTAATTACTATTTGGCATCTTTTGCAAAAAGAGGGGTAGAGTCCTCCCCCAGCCCCCCTGCTCCGCGGTGCCTGTATTTATACTTCCACCGTGGGTAAAGCCATGAAACAGGCAAGAAGCTCACCCAATGAGCAGACATGCGCATTAAGGTCAATTATTATTACGCTTGCCTTTACCCCAAAAGGAGGATGACCACTGACCAGTGGGGATGACCAAATGGACAAAACACTTTCGATTGTTCGCTTCCCCCCAGGAGATTATTACTGTGTGACAGCATCATTTATCATGCCTATTATTGTATCTTGTAATTGCATATTATTAAGCAAACTCATAATTCGATATTGGCATCTCCCATCTGAACATTCCATTTTCGAGTCTTTGAATACATCTAACAGAATCGTCGTCACATGTAATCATCGTCTGCCCATTCTTTGTTATGCGAGACGAAAATCTCTTGTGATAAGATCGATCACCATTCGCCTTAATGCATTCAATTAGCTTGGTGATAATGCAAAAGCTCGTAAATGCAAATTTGTATTGGCATTATTTTAAGAGCAAAGGAGGTGAATAAACATTACAAAGTACTATATAGGAATGGGTGTTTGACAAGGATCACTGGAGAAGCCTTTCAGTCGATGTACAATACGCGATTCAAACAACTTTGTGTTGCTTGTGCCTGGCAATAAAGTAGGCCTAAGAAATTGCACGAGGAAATCAATACAATATTTAAGGCATAGAATATCGTGGGAAATGTATTGAAAATGGGCACTGGGTTATCGATTTGTTTGAAGATTATTAGGGATTTAAAATGAACAAAATTTGAATCAAACTATCCATCATTGTTAATGTTCACGCAACAAGTTCTAGCGGAAAGTGGCTACGCTTGCCACAGGGTCGCTAGAGTAAAATATTTACGAATTCTGAAAAATGTTTACTAGGAGAAATTTACCTTGATATATCAAAGCATTGCTACCAAACCTAAATCCAATATAAACTGCAAAAATGTCGATAAAAGAACGGATTTAGGCGATTTAATATAATTTTTAACGTATTATGGCAAATCACAGCAAATGAAACTATATCAATGAAAAATAAGAAAATAAAGATCTAGCGTTTAGTTTCATAAAAGTGCTGCCTAAAAAGAACCAACTTTTTGAGAAAAACATAAGAAAATTGCTTTGAAAAAGACGTCATCAAAACTTAATTCGATCTATAAATGACAAATATTACACTCTTTATTTTATAAGAACCAATAAATTTAAGTTCAGGCTGACTGTTCTTCATTTTTTCAAAAATCTGAGGCTGGATTGTTCTTAATTTGTTCTTAAATTAAGAGGGTGTAAGCAGTGCTATTGCTAGCTTTTTCGCTCTAAAGAGGTGTTCAGGCCTCATGTGCCAACAAAGTGAGTGAGACAGCCTTAATTTGCTGACAAATTTGAATATTCACCGAAAAAGCACCCACACATGACTAAAAATCCTCGTTTTTGAGATAAATCGTTGTTCAAAATTACATTTTGCAGAAATTCAGCCTCAGCTTGTTCTTAATTTGTTCTTAACTTTTGACCAGTTTTGAGGCTCGCGTTCTTATAAAATTGTTCTTATAAAGAAAGAGTGTATTGCCTAATTTCTGTGAATTTTCTTAGTTTTTCTGTTTTGACGTGGATATGTTTTTGTTTTTCTTTTTCACTTTAATTTATCTTTCTATTTCAGTATTTGGATGTGACAAACATCTCAGAGGCTTGGTTACCAATTGTAGATATTTTCAAACTATTAATAAGGGTAAAATTCTTTAGCAAAACAAGGTTTAAAATGCCATGGGAAGCCGGTTAAGACTTAAAACTTACAGGGAATTGATGATACGAAATGCGATAAACAAATTCATTTACAGTGCAATGTGGCGTAAATCATATAATTATAATTATTATTGATCACTGATAAAACTTCTAACTCAGCAAACTTCAAAGTCAGCCGGAAATGTGAAGAAAAGAAACCTTCGCTTGTTTTTCAGATCCGTCTAATTAAAGCAAAAACAAATCTTCACATAGCGTTTTCTGTTAAATTTCATTAAGATTAGACCCATGCTAGAGTAATTGCTATTGAAATTAAGGCATCTGGACTAAAAAGACCTTGGTATGTTGCCAATTGGTCCGTAAATTTACGCACGATTTTAATCTGGCGATGGTTTTTCGTGTCGAGGATAGCTACCATGATTAAACGACGGGGAAAGACGGGTCAGTGGGCTTTAAGAGCCCAATAAAAAGAATAAAGTCTTTAAAAGAGCTTTAATTAAGGGTTTCTCTTTCAAATCTAACCTGGCAGCAATGTTGGGTAATGTATGCATGACAGACTGCTTAAAATGCGTAGAAAAACGCTTTTGAAAAGGGAATACAAATACCACAGTTAAACAACTTCTGCCCTACTCTTAAAAATAATGCATTGCGACAGAATGGAGCGAAAAACACAGTATTCGTAGGCACGACAAGCATCCTCTCTGGCTCCTTGGCTAAAAGGCTAAAATTGAAGGAAATACTACCGTGCGGAATTTTTAAGAGTGAATTTAAGAGTGCTTTCTCTCAGTTTTTGTACATCTTTAACAATTTTTCCGAACCAAGGTGTGAGGCAATTTGTGGTCCAGCATTTACAAACCGCACAGAAAACGCTGCTTGGTATAAAGTTTATGAAATATTAATTCGACTCAAACGGTGACAATCCAAAGGCCAGTTTTAGAAATGCCGTGAATCTTTTGTTGGCCTTATTCGACGAAAATAAAGAAAAATCGGATAACCTATGATTTGATTCAAAAAAGGTCATTTCAGCTGTTTCTGGAGAGACGCGGTGTCCTTTGAAAAATTAATGCTTTTATCGTGGATTATGGGTCATCTGTTTGGCCTGTGAACCAGCAGTGCGCGTACGGGATAGG